CAGACAGACAGACAGACAGACGCCTTCTACGTGAAAAGGCAAAACCTTTTCTTGTGAAATCCTGGTGCTTTGCTGTTTACTGGCAACCGAAAGCACGAGCCCAGCTCCAGCCAAAGACAAGTTTCAAATAAACAAAGACTAAATATTGGAAGTCATTGGTGTCCATGGTTCTCGCTTAGAACAAGAGGAAGGAAGTAGAATATAAACAGTCGGAGGAACAGCAGCGCAGGCAAGGCTCGGAGATGGAAAACTGCTCTGCAAGAGTGATGTGTGGATACGCTGGGGTAAACGCTCCCCAAAAGGACGAGGAGACTTTGGTGGAACCTCTCTGCCACTTTGTGGGTCTTGCACCTCAACAGCAATTTATTTATTCTAACATCAGGCAGTCCTGGAGAGCCCTGCTTAAAAGCATCTCCCTGTGGAGGTACAAGTCAGGGGTTTCCTGGGTTCGCGCCCTTTAACCATGGCCAGCAGCCCCTGCCCTTTGATAACTTTCTGGGCACACTGCAAAGACCATCTGTTTGAGGGGCTTCACAGAAGCTACCACCTCTTCTCCCCTGCCACGACCAAGAGCTGGAACGCAGCTCATGCAGGTGTCGGCTGAAGCAATCACCTCCATGCTGCTAGAGCCGGCTGTGTCAGCGGCAAAGCCTTGGCATAGCCCAAAGACTTGGCAAGGAAGGCTTTTTTTACTAGTCTCAGTAAATAACTCTCACGAAACAGACAGTACAGCAGCAATCCAGCTAAAACATAGCTTCAGGTGCTCACATTTTACGGTTTGAGGTGGGGCTGGCAAGGGCTGCCCCTCCCCACCTGCTCGTTGGGTTAGGCAGCGCCCAGCGAGACATAAAATAAAAGCAAGTCCTGAACACACAAGATCCCTTCCCACAACAGCATCAAAGGAGGGCAAATCTCTAAATCACAACAAGCAAATAGGAAAGAAAAATCAACACTTCAGGGCATGGAGGTGGGAGAAGAGACTTCAGAAGGGAGGGTGAGAGCAGAACCAGCTCTGCCAAGGATGACTTCATCACGGCAGCTCTCCTCCCTCCGCTGAGCAGCCCAGCGTGGCAGAGATACACACTTGAACATGGAGCTTCAGCTAAGATAAACCTACTCAAGCTAGGAGACACCCATGCTTAAAAAGGTGGTAAGTAGAGAGAAGCCCATGGTTTTCAAGGAGCATGAGCCTGGAATTCTCAGACTAAGGAATAACAAAAACGGGACCAGTTTTACGCTCCTGGGTACAGTTAATCCCCCTCTGGGAGAAGAGATAAGAGTATCTACAGCCTTTAGGAGTCAGAAGTGCAGCCTGAGCAATCACTATTGCAGCAGGCTCGTAAAGAACCCTTGAGCCATGTAAGCTGGGGGTTTGCACTACAACTGCAAGCTGCGTCAGAGCTGCACTTGGGGGCTGTTTAAACCAGAGGCACTCAAACACTCAGTGCGTCCCTCCAGCCCTGCTGCGCTCAGCGGCCGTCACACAGCCCTGGCGTGATCGCAGCCCTACAGACCTCTAACAAGCAAACTACTGAAACCTCCTGTTTGAGGGCTTCAGGCAGAGGCTTCATGGGCCAGAAAAGGATCCTTTTCCCTCAGGACTTCGCTCCTGCACGCCTGAAGCTCCCTCCACCTTCCTCTGGTGCGCGGGCTGACCACAGCCGAGTGCGAGTCACCAACCTGTACGATCGCATTCTCAGAGGTAGGAAAGAGGCTTTTTCCTAGAACTGCAGTTTCTGACTTGTGTAACCATCTATTACTTCCGATAGCAACACACAAGATAAACAAGAGCAGCAAGCTATTGTACTGGCTGCAAGTTTGTTATACAATGGTTGGCATCTCCACTCCAGCATTTCGGGAAGGAGAGAAAAAAGAACAAGGAGAGAAAAAAGAAAACAACGACCACCCAAACCATGCATGCTTCGAGTCGCTTTCTCTGCTGCAGATAGCAGTCATGAGAGCTCGGCAGTCAGCTGCCAGAGCACAGCTCAGTTCAGCCAGGTCTCTTGCAGAAGCCTGGTACTGGCAGGAGTCTGAAACGCATTAAGAGGAGCATCAGCTGCTCCAGGTGCCTCACAGCCACCTCTGCTCAGCAGGTTCCAGCAGAGCTAGCGTTAGGAAG